AAATGAAACTTATCGCCGTCTTTTTTTTTACCGACCTCAAAAAAAGTTATCGTGCAATTAATTGATTTATTGTCTATCGCGACAGGCCTAGATGCGGCCATTTTTGTGTTTTGTAAGATCACCTGGCTGTGGATGCCATCATAAGTTGGGCTGACCCTAAAGGGTTAATCAGCTGTAAACCTAACAGTTACTCCCTGGAAGTTTCATAAATACAGACATTTATGAGATATTTTTTAACAACAAACAGGGCTGATGTTAATGTTTTTGTTTATATCACAATTCTCTCACAATGCGTCGAGCTCAAAGTGTGCGTCAGAGATGACTCTTGGCTACTACCACACAAAAACTTAGCACAATAACATAAAATTTCAAGAATTCTTAATATTTTTTGTGTTTGTTAAAAGTCAGTTACCTCAAACTTGTCTGGGTCTGCTCCTCCTGCCTGGCCCACAAAGACCCCAGCTCCGGGGTCCAGTTCCATGGGATCGGGCGAGCGCTCAAATTTCACCACCTGCGGATCCGTGGCGCACTCTGGATAAAACGTCAGCTCGTCGTCGGACACCGACAGGGCGAAGAGGTTCCACGTGTCCAGCATGCTCGGCACGTCGAAGCTGGCTGCCTCGTACGAATGTTCGGAGTCGGGTTCGGTGTAGAAGAACTGCACCTTCTGACGGCCGGACTGCACCGCGCTGAGCTTCACCCCGATGTACATGAGCTTCTGAGGCCCGTCTGTGACGGCGAAGAGGACCGAAGCGGCAGGGGAGGTGGGCTTGACGTAGAAAATGAGGGAGAAGTCACGGAAGAAAGTTTTGCCGATATGAGACCAGGCCAGCTGGCCCGTTACATCTGCAGAGGTCAAACTGTAGGCAGGCTCGCCTGCAGGTCCAGAGACTTTAGTGATGCCATCTGGAGGAGGGTCTCCAATAAGCTGTGACAAAGTGATGCCATTTTCTTCTGCAAGACAGGAAGTTCATATTTGGAGTCATTATTAACTTTATAAAAAGGATCACGAACCACCTTTGTTTGAATCAACAGCCAAAACAGATATTTGCTAACATTAATATTCAAGTTTCCCCTATATGGGATCAATCCTGTGCCAGCAGTAACTGAATTTGAATTGCTCAGCTTGAATCTGAATGTGCATAATTTGAAATTGAAGGCATTGGTTTGAAAATGTTTACTAAATAAATTTTACTAAATTGAAATGGAATTTAATTGTTTATAACTAAATTTAAAGTTTTGAATTTGAACTAATTTGCTTTTAAACTGTATTTTGGTTTATTAAAACTTCAGTTTGACTACTTTCAATTTCAGTTCCATAATTCATATTTTTGTGTCTTCATCCTGGTCCTTGAGAAAGCCAGCCAGAGTAATCAAACACAGATCCACAGATTTATGTTTCACCGGTGAAACTTCCCTTCTGTATGTAACAGAGTTGATGCAATCCACTGTAAAAGTGACAAAAACAGACAAAGTTATTTTATTGCAGTGATTAATTTTACCTATATGTAGAAAATGTTACATTTACCTCACATCATGGATCAGTCAGCAGCAGCATCTGATCAATATGTGATCCATGATGTGAGGTAAATGTAACATTTTCTACGTACAGGTTAAATTAAAGTGAAACATAAATCTGTGGATCTGTGTTTGATTACTCTGGCTGGCTTTCTCAAGGACCAGGATGAAGACACAAAAATCTGAATTATGGAACTGAAATTGAAAGTAGTCAAACTGAAGTTTTAATAAACCAAAATACAGTTTCAAAGCAAATTACCGGTAATTCAAATTCATAACTTTAAATTCAGTTTCAAATTAGTGAAATTTATTTTCAGACCAATGCATTCAATTTCAAATTATGCACATTCAGATTCAATCTGAGCAATTCAAATTCAATTTCTGCTGGCAAAAGATTTATTCCATATATTTGTCTCTGGCACAACAAAAAGAAAAACCAAACCCGAAGGTTAGAAATGTAACACTACATGTAATCAAAATCAACTAGCTTTAAAAGGGCACACAAATTACAGAGATATATTTACAGTGTCTGAGAGGCAGAAAACGGGTCAAATTAATATAATAAAAACAGCTAATATTCCAGTTCCCATAGATTGAAATAGACCAAAGACAAACGAGCAGATGTCTTGAGAATAACATTTAGTTTCTCATAAATCAACATCACGAGGGAGAATGAGTTCTGGCTCAGAGGATGCTTGAGGGTCCTTTGCAGATTTATCATAAATTGTGGGGTTTTCCCCCCATGTTCATATATGATGCACATGTCTTGACAGCAGAACTTCTTTATGTAACAAAAGTAAAGGTTAACCAAAAAAAACCTCACAATGTAGTTAAACCAAAAAACATTCAGAGTTGCAAAAACATCTATTTTGCTGCAAGAGTCAAATCTCTTTCCATTTGCGACCACAGCTGAAAAATAATTAAATTTATAAGTTTCAATGTTGAAGGTTGTCTAAACCTTAATAACTTTCACCTTTCACAAAAAGATTAAAGTAACAATTGCCGCAAAATGTAATAACGTTATTACATAATGCGTTGAAGACTTATTACATTTTGCATCAGTTATTACATAATGCGGTTTAGCGCGAGTTTATTACATTTTGATGCCTGATTTCATTACATTATTATACAACGCGTTGTTATTACAAAATGAGGTCTTACTTATCCTGCTTTCTGAAACAGGGCTCTGGTAGGGCTCAACATGTTTACTTTCAGCTACTATCAAAACAAATTTGAGCTCAATATCTGAAAAACTAACTGATTTAGGAACATTTTTGTCTAGCTGTGGCCATCTTGAATTGACTCCAAAAGATTATCCCTTGTAGATATATGTCCACCAATCACTTGTGATTCAATAAAATCCATTTGTTTCATTAGACCTTTTGCTCATGAACCAATAAATGAACACATACAGACATGAATAATTACTCCATCACCAACCTTTCAGTGGTGGGAGATCATGTCACTGTACCTTTGTTGTTTCAGGTTAGATCAGTATGGAGCTGAAGAATTATTTTCACACACTTATTTTGTAATTAGCAAAATATTGTACTTATATTTATTCAAATAAACTGTAGAGCAGGAGTGTCAAACACAGGTCCTAGAGGGCCGCTACCCTGCATGTTTTCCTTGTTTCTGTTCCAACACACCTGATTCAGTGATTCAACTACATTTCAAACTCTGCTGCAGTCTGATAAACATTCAAAACATTCAAATCTAAACTGAACAATTCGAACAAACATTTCACAAAATCCATAAGATAAAATACCAGGGTTACTACGTTTATTCTAAAAACATAAAGTGGAACAATAAAAGTTGGAACTTTTATTAAACATTTATATGGTACTCTAATGACTGATGTTAACAAGTACAGTAACATTTAGTAAAAACACACAGCTTGTCCATACAGGATCCATATAGCAACAAGCTGGCTTTTAGGTTCTACTCATGGATCTTTTCTTTATTTTCTCTCTGCCATTAGCGCAGCCATGTAAGGTAATTTATGTCCCAGCAGATGCTGAATACACTCCTAATTGCTGAACCTTTGGATAATCCTGGACCCAGTGGGATTTCATCCAGCTGAAACTCAGGCAGTGGAATTTTGTCTTCTTCCCACTGATATCACCTGCTGCTGGTTCATGTCCCAGCTGCTGCAGCTGTCGCACAAATCATCTCTATTAAATTATGTGTGCAGGAAAACTTTACCTCACTGCTTCAAACTGTGAGCTTACTTTTAATTAGGATAGATA